TACCCAGAGAGGCATGGCCTACGATGTGTCGTCAGTTTCTGTGGTTATTTTTTATCGGATTGTGAATGCATACATACATACGATGATAGAGCCAAATAAACTGTTGTTTGTAATAACTTAATTACAATTCTCCCTGACAATTATATGATGCACTGTAGGCCTTCGATAGCCAAGCCTTTTCGACTGGAATTCTCATTATTTTCAATTTTCATAGCCATGCATGTTCACGTTGGTTTGAGTTGCGCATGCTTAATTGTTGCTTTAAAAAGTTTGACTTTTCCCATTTCTATTCCATACTCTCTTTGCAGATGCTGTTTGGTTCCTGAGACGTCTTTTTGGTAACTGCGCATGCTCGACATGGCTAGACAATGTCACTTAATGTACATCTTATTTACTGTCTAGCATTTCCAAGCGCATGCTCACTGTGTTTTTATACACATTTCACGGATGTTCTTTGAGAACTGCAATTGCGCATTCAGTAGTTCAGAATCCCCATTCCTTCGTATTAACAACTACCCCAGGGTCCACTCACCTTGACCTTAGGGATGCATGTGTGTTACCAAAATCAAGTAAAAAGGGTTGTTTTTCCCTGAACAGGCACGTAACATATGTTATCTTTTTAGGGCCTGAAAAATGCTAAAATTCATAAACAGGGTATCATATTTTAGGAAATTAAGAACGCATTTATGGTGTGCGTCTCTGTGTGTGTCAGACAGCCGACGCACAGTGCAGAAAGTTGGAGTCAGACCAGCATTGCCCTGACAATTGCGCATCTCACCGAGGGCACAATTCTGTAGTTTTTTTCCCTCGTATCCTGCCTTTGCGCTGTTGACTATTGCTTGCTCGTGTTTAGGGTTATACTCTAAAAATACTTAGGGGTAAGATTTTAATATTGTTAAAATTGGTGCATTTTCTCTGTATTCCAAAACTTGTTTAGGGCCTTTCTTTGAAGCATGGCCACACACATGGGTACCCAGATCTAGGGCGATCCCAGATGCCCCCCAACCCCCCGAAAAGCTACCACTACCTACTGTTTCTTCTTGATCGTAGCAGCCTAAATGTGCGGCACGGAAAATACATGTAATGGTACTATACTCTATGAAACAACTTAAGGCATTTAATGAGTAATGCAATTGCTCATATTTTAATATCAACTTTATACGTTATTATTAGTAGTAGTAGTACTGTAGTAGCTTCAGTAGTTCAGTCTTTTTTTGGTTTGGTTGCCACTGTTTGTCGTGAAACCATGTTGAATCAATCTTTAGTAATAGGGTTCAATTCCCATGCTTTTCCTAGTGTTTCAGCTAAAGGACTGAATTAAGTTACAATAGTGCACTGTCTTTTGGAAGCCAACAGTACAGTACTGTACAGTACAGTATAACCTCGATTTTACGTACGGTACGGGACCGGAGGACATACGTAAATCGGGGGATTCGTAAAATAGAGTTTGGGTTAAATTTGTGGTAACCTTTGACCTAATATGTACGTAACACTCATTAAACTATGTATGAACGAACGATGTTACCTAGGCTAGACCTAGCCTCTAGAGGCTTACGATTTAAAACCATTTGTTTAGTGTTTTTATTCATCGCTTTACGATGTCATAATAAAGTGTCAAAACCATGTGTCTAGTGTATTAATTCATCACTATATCTTTTATGTAACTAAAGAACATGAAAATATTGTAAGATTACCTACAGTATAAGACAAAGGTATAACTTGGGAATTCCCCTTCATGCCTATTCTAAACAACAGAGCTGCGGTGTTGTCTGGGCCAGTTGAGACAAACTAAAACCATGTGCGCTGCACTGGGCGAGCCAACCAATTAGCGTTCGTGTACGTGAGACAGCAACCATGTGCAATGCACTGGGCGAGCCAACCAAATAGCGTTCGTGTACGAAACTATGCCTACCCAGCTTCGTGTAAAAAAAATCGACCAGACAAGATTTTCCATGGTTTGCCACACAAAGCAAAGGAGGAAAGCAATTATTTTGAGCACCATCGGTAGTTGTTTATCTCACTCAGTTCACGTGGTTTTAGATTACAACAACCCGATATTAGACTCAATCAACGTTGCTGTTGCGGAATGAAAATACATTGCATTATGGTTTGTTTTGTTATAGTTTATTGTTATAGTCCTTTTACTTATAGTTGCTCTGAAAAGGGCCATTTGTTTTGAATATTTTCGGGGTTTTTGATGACGTCATCGTCATCGTCGGTACGTAAAACCGAGGGTTCGTATAACTGGGGTACGTAAAAACAAGGTTCTACTGTATGTGCAATATGAAAAAAGGGTAGGGTACTGCCTATCTATCACCAGAAGTACTAACAGAATACAAGTCTTTGGATATCCATGGTGTGATCCACACCAAAAATACTATCCTTTTCTATTGTATCAAAAAAAACCTACCGGTATTATGGAATAGTCAAGGCAATCATATTTCAGGAGATAGTTCAATGCAAGCATTAAAATATTGGAAAGAATAAAGTATGGATATGCTATTTTTTTCAAATTAATTTGTTTCAGCTTTATGTCATGATTGAGAAATATAGAAACTCATTATCCCATTGGGACATCAATGTTATTGTTAACGTTAACGGTCAGTAGTGTCGTGAAAGGACATTGCAAGCTGCATCACCACAAGTGCAAAGGATATTTACATTCTTGAAGGGCATGATAAATGCAGTCTTACAGAAACGATGACATAATGTGGGTCTTTAATGCGCAACTGCAGTTATGCATTGTAATGTTTGTTTCGCATGCATAAATTTCTTGAATGGCAGGGAATTTAATCACTGCAGTGTCGTTCACTCAATAAACAGCTAATTACAGTATTCTACAGTTAGTGCATTAGCTATCCTGATGAAGTGGACAATTTCCATAGCAATACACTTGACTGATATCTTCATTCCATTTTCAAAACTAATTAAAAGCAAATGAAATTGTCAACAAAATAAATTAAATTATACAGTACCGTATTCATAAATTTATCTGACCAAACAGTATGTTTTAAGAGTGTTTGACTGTTGTAACTTGTACTTTAGTTCTTTGTATGTACACCGTCATGATGATACAGTAGAAACTTGATTTTACGTACGGTACGGGACCTGAGGGCGTACGTAAATCGGGGGATTCGTAAAATTGAGGTTGGGTTAAATTTGTGGTAACCTTTAACCTAATACGTACGTAACACTCAATAACGTATGTATGTATGAACGATGTTACCTAGGCTAGACCTAGCCTCTAGGCCTACGAATAAAACCATGTGTTTAGTGTTTTTATTCATCACTTTACGATGTCATAACAAAGTGTTCAAATAAAACCATGTGTCTAGTGTATTAATTCATTACTTTATATCTTTTATTTAACTAAAGAACATGAAAATATTGTAAGATTACCTATATGACAAAGGTATAACTTGGGAATTCCCCTTCATTCCTATTCTAAACAACAGAGCTGTGGTGTTCTCTGGGACTGTTGAGACAAACTAAAACCATATGCTCTGCTCTGTACGTGAAACAGCAACCATGTGCAATGCACTGGGCAAGCCAACCAATTAGCGTTCGTGTACGAAACTATGTCTACTCAGCTTCGTGTAGAAAATTCGACCAGACAAGATTTTTTTTTTTGAGCATCATCAGTAGTTGTTCATCTCACTCAGTTCATGTGGTTTTAGATTATAACAACCCGGTATTGAACTCAATCAACGTTGCTGTTGCGGATGAAAATACATTACATTATGGTTTGTTTTGTTATAGTTTATTGTTATAGTCCTTTTACTTAGAGTTGCTCTGAAAAGGGCCATTTGTTTTGAATATTTTCGCGGTTTTTGATGACGTCATCGTCGATACGAGGCGTACATAAAACCCAGGGTTCGTATAACTGGGGTACGTAAAAACGAGGTTCTACTGTATTACTGTATTGCTTATTCTTACAGTAATTTATTCTTCATTAACATTCAGTCAAACTGCTTGGCAATAATTATTATGCAATTCATAAGTATTCGACAGGAGGAAAATTATGAGATGATGCTTGATTGACAATTCTTCAACTACAGTATGCACAGTTGTAAAGTGTATAGTACTGTGCCTACAACTTTTATGAACTTTCCTGTCAGTGTCAGTATACCTACAAAATGATCACCACAAAAATTTGAATTTATGAAGAAGATAAAGATGATGATGATAATGAAGATAATGTTGCTGATTGAAAAGGATGGTGATGTGGATGATGAACATAAGTTGATAAAAATATTGAGCATGATAAAAATAGTGACAGTGATGATGACGATGATAATGATTATGAAGATGATTTCTACAGTATTTTAAATGTCCATACAATGAGAGGCATTTAAAAAACTCTTGATACACTGTCCAGTACTGCCAAGTCATGAATCAAAAGTACTGTACAGTTTTATATGAATTGATACAAATTACAATCAGAAGATCAGATGTACTGTACTGTTCTGCATAAGCACTGTAGCACTGTTACACAGTTAAGCACACTAACCTGCTGTTGTTAGATGCAATGTTAAAAAGCTCACTCAAACCAACATGGCTGACCACAACAGGGCCCTGGTCTCCGGCCACCACTATCTGGTATGGTCAGCAGTATATAAATATTAACTGCAAAAATGTACTGTAATAATACTACAGTACAGTACAGTAGCAATGGACAGTGAATTAAAATATAATATTGTTAATCAACCTTGATAAATATTTGGATAAATTTAATCATGAGGCCACCATTAAGTATAAAATGAACAAACGAGTGTAAAAAGGCATGCTATTTGCATGAACAAGAATCTTACGTGACAGGTACTTGTTGTAGCTTGGATAACTGCATTTGTTTCATACAGTACTCACTTAAATGTAATATTAAGCAAGATTAAACTAATTAGTTAGTATTATGCTTCAATAGCCCATAAATAGTACAGTGCAATATACAGTAAGTCTAAAATTTATATCACTGAGCTTGGTTAAATTGTGCAATTTCTTACCGTCCTATACATTTCATCATCGTATATGGAAACTGTCTTTGAGTTAAAAATCTACAATTTTCAAAGATAAAATTAAGAAGAATTTATACCAAGTTATCTTTTTTTACTGTATGAATGACAACAGACACAGCAATATCAAAAACAATAACAAATGCTTGTGGTACACCACGTTCCCCAAGGGGACCAGAGTGTGTTTATTACTTAATGTACCACAAGCATTTACTAACTGTACTTTGCCATGCAAACCTTCAAAAAATATTTTATAACAGCAAAAATGCATTTCATCATTTTAACATTCAGAGTAAGTTCAAGCACACATAGGTACTGTACTAAATATTTTGATGCAAGATAGTATCAGTAAAAAAAAACTGCGCCAAGTACGGCATTCCTACAATAGGAAGGATCTAATCTTACACCTAAATTCACACGTACTGCACACATTTTTCCAAATGCAGTGTGAAAGCAAATCCATGCAAAAACTTTCCAGATTTCGCAGGGGTTCCCTGAGTTGTCTTGGAAGAAAAACAGGCCAACGTGAGGCCTGTTCTTCTTCCGAGATATTCTGAGTTGTTAACTGTGCATGCAAATTAAACCAAACAACCTTTTCATGGTTTTGTCACTCATCTCTACTCTAACTGTAAGCAACAGCAGAAAAGCGTCACAGTAGTAGTTAGTAGTAGTTCAACCAGTAATATCAACCAGAACCCTGCGGGCGTCAACATTCCTCTGCATGCATGTTTATTTTCAGGCAATATGAGGTTGGGTTAATTTTGTGTTGTGGTGGTTTACCTTGAAAAGTTAATTCTTTGCATTTGAATATTGGGAAAGTGAATACTTTACTTACACATCAGGTATAGGCCTAAATAAATGCTTTGCTATCTCCACGCCACCCTTGGCAGGAGGTGCTATTATACACGCCTCCAGCAGCATGCAGCAGCCTAGCCTGTTGTCCATCTCGCAGGTGAAAAGTCGTCCCAATTAACCTTATTACATATGGCGCCCTCTAGAGATAACAAAGTCGCTTATTATTTTTAATCTTATCAAGTAACTGGGGGCACTAATCAAAAGCAAAAACCCGAAGGTGGTGACTGAAACACCACTGAGGAACTTCACGTCGCGAGGTAAAAACAAAATGTTGGAAAACTTTTTCAGACGCATGCGCAATTTCACTCTAAATGCCCACACACACACATACATACCACTGATCTCTACTATAATAGCTGGATTGCTCATCGGCCAATCCTGGTAAAGAAAAAAGTGGAGGGCCTAAGTGACGTACCAGTTTAGAAAAGTTTCTTTTGGCATTTGTTTAAATTATAGTTAAAAATAATGATTTTTGCAATACTTTTCAATAATAAATTTAAATTTAACGTAGGAATTTTTTTTTTTCAAGCCTTCTAACCACTAGACGCGACTATTTATGCAGTTTTCAAAAGTCACGTTGTTAAGTGATGCGCTTTCTTAAACTGCATAAAAAGTCACATCAAGTAGATAGATGATTTGAAAAATAATCATTACATTAAATTCAAATTTATTATTAAAAAGTTTTGCAAGAAACATTATTTTTAACAATAATTTAAACGAATGCTAAAAGAAACTTGTCTGAAATGATACGTCATGTAGGCCCCCAACATGGCGTCAGTGGCTTCACTAAAACCAGCCAATGAGCAACCAGCTATTATAGTAGAAATAGGTGATACACACACCTAAAATGTGATTGCAAGAATCACGTCGCTGTGTAAAAACAAGCCAACAGTACCGCCATGAATTATCGCTTCATATCTGTGCGTAACCACTCGTAATCTGCTCGTAGGTACCGTTTTGAACGTAGCTACGAACCCCTACGAAGGTCATTGTTATTTTAATTAGCTTTGCAATGATCGTAGGCTGGATTTTCGGGCTGATAAACAATGTGTAAACAATATTGAAATATAGTTTACCAGCTTTCAACCCCCTTTCAACACATGAGCAATGTTGCAATTTACTAATAAACAATGTTTGAACTTTATTGTTCGTTATTTCCTACCTTTAGATCGATCATGTTTTAAAACTGTGGTTAGCTACCTAGCTAGGCCTACAGGAGAACAGTGAGTTCAAATTTCAATGTCATTTACGACCTACATTTTTCCCTAAGAAGGAGAGCAGAATAATTATACTGGTTAACTTCCAATTCGGAGTATTTTGATCTGGTGTTATTGTTCTGGCAGTAGGCATTTTTTTCCTTTTAAATAATATCGATGACAAATCAAGTACAAATTATTAAGAATTCTACATTAAAAGATCACTTTTTGTGTTTGTTTACCGTAATGAGCAGAACTTGCAAAGCGATCCAATACTAGTAATGGAATTATAGCTTGCCTAATTAAGGCTAGTCATGCTGGACCGCATTTCCTTTGTTTTTTACTCACTGTCGCCCACAGCTTTTTAACATTTGCCACAAGGTTAACCTTTAACACACTATAACTGTGTTCTGATTGGCGCACACGCTGCCCGTTGCTGGATTTGTGGTTGACAGCATGAACTGGCAATTCACCGAGTTTTGTTTTCCATTGGGTTTTCCATTCGACATTCGGTAATTTTACAATTAACGGACGTTAACTCTCTTTTTATATTTATTATTTATCTTACTAAATCAAGACTACAAAAATATTGTTTGATGAACAATCGTTTCACATGTGTGTATTGTTATTGAGGACATCATTTTTTGACAGTTAAAAGAGGTGAACTACAAATAGTACATAAAAAAATATATATTATAAATATATATATATTATAAAAAATATAAAAATAATATTAAATACAGGAGTACAAACAAATTCCTGTCGTCGACAGCGAGTGGAAGGGGAGACTCTGATCAAATCAGGTATACATTTTTCTTATTGAAAAAACAGCTCCATACTTTAAATTAACGGTCTAAACACGTGCTTGTCATTCAAAAATGACCCAGCAATACATTGTTTAATCCAGTAAGCTACAGCAGTCTTTCTGCACATACAAATATACAACACACTTTTGCTTCGTAGGTTCGCTTCGTAGCCTTACTTAGATTATTTATATCAGCCTACGAAAAAATTGCAATAGGCCTAGTTTCTGGCGGTACTATAGGCTTTGTGTTATGTCGGGTTTCAGAAAAAAAAAGAATGGCAAAGAAAGAATAAGAATTGTGGAAATGAAAGAAAAAGAAAATATAGTGTAAGAAAAGGTAGAGAGGGAAAACATGAAAAGAGGTAGTAAAATGAAAAATGAAAGGAGGAAAATGGGGTAGGGGAAAAGGTAAAGAAAGAAATTACAGGGAAGTAAAGAAAAAGAGACGGGTCGTAAGTATGAAAGAAAAAAAAGGAAAAGGAGAAAAAATAAATGGAAAAAAAGAGTAAAAGGTAAGTAAGGTAATACGACTAAGGAAATAAATATTTAACATTAAAAAAAAAAGTAAATAAAATTCTGCATTTTCAAATTATTTATTTATTAACATTATATATTTATTTTTATTGCTGTTATTCATTATTGTTACTCATTATTTTTGTTAGGTGAAAATTTTAATAATTTTGTTGTAAAGCGCATAAAGGTATTTTACATTGCGCTATATAAATTGACAATTATTATTATTATTAGAAAGAAACTGAGTGGATTTTGCCTACCACTGAAGATCGTCATGTTGCGAGTTAAAAACAAAATGTTGGATAACTACAACTAGGCTTCGTGTTGTGTCGGGTTTCAGAAAGAAACTGAGTGGATTGCAAACTTGCAAACTTGACTTATTAGGAAGTGTTTTTACCATATTAGGTAATTTGGGGTGGGCTCTAATTATTTTTAATCTTATCAAGCAACTGGGGGCGCTAATCAAAAGCAAAAACCCGGAAGAAGGTGGCCGAACTGCCACTAAGTGAGGAACTTCACGTCGCGAGATAAAAACAAAATGTCGGAAAACTTTTCTGAAGCATGCGCAATTTCACTCTAAATGTCTGCACACACACACACACACAAAATGTGATTACAAAAGTTCCTGTTGCATTGCATGCATAGGAACTAATAAAATGGAGAAACTTTTTGCAATCCACCAGCGCTGGCAACAGAGAATGATGATGCTTGTCGCCCTGGTTGTCACTTGTACTTCTACGGGGCCAACCACTGGATTGTTTATGATTTGTCTGGCCATCTTTTAGTTTTTGTTTTGAAGGAACCCCCTAAAAGTTTGATCGAAAAATAATACTGTCCTCAATTACACAAAATTGTCATTCTTTTGAAATTTCACAAGGTTTCCAAATGCATGTGTGAAAGCGATAGATATCTCGGGATGTCAAATTTGTTAAAACATATTAATATTATGAATATTATTAATCCTGTAAAATGTTGTAACATTTTCTGTAGTTTGAATTGGGTATTACACTTTACTACTGTAGGCTGGTAAGCTTACTGTTAGCTAACAGCCTCTTTAAGCTGGGTTGCACGATCATACTGTACATTATGATCAAAAACCGAAGGGTCGACTGATTAATCTCAGATAAGATACATACCTGGTACTCCAAGTATCGAAATGCATGACACAATGGCGTGCATTTTGATACTTGGAGTATGTATTAAACTATCTTAGTATGATCAAAATTTTGTTAAAAAACAAACATGCACAGACAAGGTTAAAGGCCTAAAGGTTCAATATAATTAACAACTAACAATGAACATCTAACATAAGGAAGACCTACATGTCAATAACCTAATACAGGTCTACACAAACTAGAGCAGTCACTTAATACAGTAGAGAGCATACCTCCACCCTGTGCGAATACGTAGTCTGTGTACAGTACTGTATGATGCGTAATTCCACTATTTTCGGCTCTGTGCTGAATACCAAACAACACGCAGGCTGTGTGTGATCTTGACAATGACATATGACCTTTCTTCCCAAAATTTCATCCTCTCTCTATTTAAATTATGAACCATTCCACTAAATTTGATGATCCATTCATTAGTTTAGTCGTAATCTTGCTACTGTACATATGATACAGTAACTGCCAGACACATGAATATGTTTGCCTCTTGACAAGAATCAATTT